CCTGCTTTGAGCAGGGGGTTGGACTAGGTGACTTCCTGAGGTCTTTTCCAACCTTAATTTTCTATGAGTCTATGACTCTAACAGTGCTGTCAGATATCATGGCAGTCCAGGGTACTGCGGCACCCTGGCTGGGAACCACTGTTCTAGAGGGGCTTCCATAGCTGCGTTGCCTAGTGTCATGCAGCAAGATTTTCTTCAGGCTTTGCCTCATCCAGGCCCAGTCCTAGCCTGGATTAAATAACTGTAGAAAGGCATGCTAACTCTATTCCAAGATCTGCATGTACTTTCTTTTTATGGTTTTGAGGGGCATTATGCAGCTATGACCTTAGCAAATTACCTCCACAAATCACAGCACTTGCTTCTTCCCTGCCCAGGAGCTATGGAAAAGGTATAGAATTGAAGAGAGAAGCTATTGGCACTGATAGAGGCCTGATCAGCTTGGAATGATCAGGCCTCTATCAGGCCTCTATCAGCAACCCTTTCAAGGGTATAGGTTGCTTCCTCAGCCTGACAAAGGGTATTTATACCTGTAAGCTTGTAAAGAAGAATTTTTCCAACTATCTGAGTTGGTCTAATAAAAGATATCAGATTTACCCAAAGAACCTTGGCAACCCTGTTAGTAACAGACCATCAAGAGCACTTCATCCTATTGATCTGTTCAAGCTGCTAGGGGAGACTTATTGCCGGATGTTGGAGCTATAGCACCATCTGTTTGTTGATACTCTGCTCTCCTTGCCATAAAACCTGGAGGCTAACCTCTGTTAGCTTTTTCCCAGTGCCTGTAAACAAGCACTTTCATGCAAATTGGCTGAGTCAAATGTAGTCTTCACAGGAGAAGTGGTTCTGGAGGGAAGAGAGAAAAGAGAAAGAAAAAAAAAACTTCAAATGGTTTGAATTGAATCAGGAGACCAATTAAAAGCTCCAAATCAAATTGGAAGCCTCCAAATCAATTCAGAAAAGATTCGCCGATTCAGAGATTCAACCATAGACTAAACTGGCAGCAGTCCTCACCACGCTGGACCCAGGTGGGTGGAGTGGGGAGGGAAAGGGTGTGGGGGAGGGAGGGATTGCGGCTGGGATAAGCTTCCCAGCCGGGGCAGGGGACACAGGACTGTGCAAGATGCAGGATGCGGGCATGGCAGCCCTCAGAGCGGGGGCTATGCTCTGCTGCCGCTTGCCCAGCCAGGGCAGGTGGGAAGGGGGTGGGAAGCAGGCACAGCCTGCTCCGGGCAGAAGAGGGCAAGTGGCAGCAGGGCATAGCCCCCACTCCCAGTGCTGCTGTGCCTGCATCCCGTGCCTTGCTGCCCCAGCTGGGCAAGTGGCAGCAGCACCTGCCCCCCACCACGCTGGCTGGGCAAGCAGCAGCAGAGCAGAGCCCCCGCTTCCAGCGCTGATGTGGGTGCGGCAGTGCTGTGAGCGGGGGCTATGCCCTGCTGCCGCTTGCACCCTTCTGCCCCTCCCCCCACTCCAAGTGCTGCTGCACCTGCATCCCACACCCCCTGCCCCAGCTGGGCAGCTTGTCCCAGTCTCAGCCCCAGCCCCAGCCCCAATCCCAATCCCTCCTTCCCCCTCCCCCAACCCAAACAGACTTACCAGCTGGAGGCAGCTGTGTCCAGCATGGCGAGGATTGCTGCCTGCTTAATCTATGGTCAGATCTCCAAAGCAGCGCCAAATCTTCGGATCTGATTTGGCTGAATTGAACTGGGACAGTGATTCGAATCTCTGAATCGAATCACTGTCCCTCCGAATCGGCTGAATCCGAAGCGATTACTTGCCATTTTGCACAGGCCTAGTGCACACCTCTTATATACTTATAGGCTGTCACCAAGTCACCCCTGAGCCTATGCTTCTCCAGGATGAAGAGTGCCATGTCTCTCTGCCTATCCTCATAAGGCCTTTCTGAGCTCTGTACTTCTTTACCACATGGAGAGAGACAGCTCCACCTGCCTGAGACCAGCTCTAGAATATCTAAAGGCAAAAATTTACAAGAGAAAGGCACAGGGAAGTAAGCCCTTCGTGCAGCATTCTTCTGTCCCTTCACTTTGTTTCCAAACTTTCTGAGTCTGCATATAACAGCTCTGATGCTTTGAAAATATGCCTGTGCAAAATGATTATCTATGTGCCTAGATGTGCAAGTGAATCCCACAAAAAAGAGCAGGCCTCATTGGTACAGGTTGGATGGGCTCTCTTAAAAATTTGACTCAAAAAATCCTCAGTCCTAGGAATTAAAAAAAAAAGAAGAAAAGATAAAAACCAGGATGGTTGGAATTTTTCAGACTGACGGGTGCAAGAGAAGGGATGGTGTGTTCCCTTTAACTTGTGAAGTGTTGGGCCCTTAGTCTGCATGACCAGACATCACTGAGTTGGGTTATCGATAGGAGGGCTAGGGACAGAAATTGCACATAAACCAGCATAAGCGATTGAAACTGGTTCAAATCTGTAACACAACAGATAAACTGCTTTTAAAATAGCCAAAACTGGTATAAGATAAACCTGGATGGATGTAGTATCAGACTTAACTGATTTAGGTTAAAACAGTTTATTGAACTTCTATCCCAGATCCCCTGCAAATTCAAGTTAACTCACAGACCCCCAGCATCCTAGGATGCGTTGCACCTTCCCTGCAACCTCCCTTTGCAGGGTGTGCGGGCTAGCTTTGGCCCAAGCTGTCTGCCCAAGCTATTTGCTCCAAACAGGGAGGCATGTTCTAGTGCCCTCCGGCTTCCAGCCTGGGCCACTGCAGGCATGTGGCTGCATTTCCAGAATCAAGTGAATGTCTGTTCACTTGCTTATCAGTTCAGTCTACACAGCTTAGACTAACCTGCAAAGATTGAATCAATTCGACCTCAGATTTTTGAATGTCTGTACTTAACCAAGGTAGCTGAGTTGAGTTATTTCACTAAATGGTGGGATGGGCATCTTTGCATATTGTATACCAATAAAAATACCTGAGACAGATCTCTTCACATTGGCATCCTGTTCAGGCAAAACTAAACTGTTCAATGGAAATATTTGAGGCCAAAAACCACTTTTGACTTTGACCTAGCAACACTTCAAGTATCTCAAGGATCATTTTGTTTCTGTGATCGTGGCTATATCCTCTCATGTAATGAAAAGTCTGTGTTTTTCTTATACAGACTCCCAGCACCCAGATGTATTAGATAATCTGTATCCACTCTATCTGTGAGTAGCAGAGGACTGACCAGGAATTGTTGTTGGGTTCTATCTTGCTTCCTGCCAAGCAAGCAGCGCTGCTGTGGAGGGCACATCTATGGGATGTTTTGAATAGCTTTAAAGCCGCTGTGTTTTTTTTTCTTTAAAAACAAACAAAAAAAGTGACCATGTGGGAGTGGGTAAACATATATATTGTTTGTTCACTGATTATGTTTCAGGACCTGGCAAATAAAGGATGAAATTCACCTGACAAAAATCTGGCATTGTTTCCCGTGCCACATCCTGGGTAATGACATGAGAGGAATCTGTGTTGCTAAACTAGATGAGCTCTGTATTAAGAGAATCATTCACAAAAGTGCTAAAGCTGCAGCCAACATTGAAGCTATGCACACTCTGATTGGTGCTCAGGCACCTCCTCTGAACTCTTCTTTCCCACAACAGGTTCCTTCTTTTAAGTTCTGTGCATGTTGCTACATCTTTGTTTCTGAGCATTGTTATGGCTTTTGTGCCCATACTTGCTGAGGTCTGAAGTTGCTAGCCCATAGTCCTTCAGTTGCTCATCCATTTCTTTGTTACTGTGGTTGTTGGGGTCTTCATTCTGTAGCATGGTGTCCTGTGGGCCCTCGGCAGCCATGTCTACATGGCAGATTTGTCATCCCAGAGACCAGTGCTTTCACATGTGCTGCAGTGTTCCACACAGGCTTCTCCTGAGCCAGTAGCAGTGTAGTTGTCTCTGTATTATGCTGCAGATGGACTTATTAGCTTGTGTGCAGGTACTGTTACCCAGCCATAGCTTGGATTGCTCATATAACTCATTCCTACACTGGGTCTGTGGATGGCTGAGGCTCTTTCTAAGTGCTCCTAGTCCTGCCCTGGCCTTGTCCATCTAGATGTGCTGTGTTTCTGCTGCTGCTGCTTCACAGTTGCCTTCAGTTTAGTCCCTGCCATCGGCCTGAGTGTTAGCTGTTTTATATAACCTATCTTCCACTTCAGCCCAAACCATTGCCAGTGCTTGGTATGGCTGTTTAATGGTGAGACCCAGACCTGCTCACTTCTCTTAGGTCTTTGGCTCCTCTATTGGAGCAGGCTGCCTCCTCAGCTACGTATTTCTAACAATGGCTGTGTGCTGCCCACCTCTACTGTTCTGGGTTCCTGCAAGCAGCCTTTGATAGGAATTAGAGCCTTGGTTTTCCAGCCCATTGCTTCCTGTGTCAGGCAACTGGTTAGTTCCTAGGAAGTTGCACTGTAGTGGTCCAACATTGCTGAGCTAGAAACTTTTCCTGCCTGCTTTGTCCATATTGTCACTTCATTTGGATGCTTCTGCCTTTGTTGTTTTGTGGGCATCTAGGGAAAAGAACATCTAGAGGTTAGTGAGGAAACTAAGGGAAATAAGACAGGGAAGGGACCAGAAAAAGGATGGTGAGGGGCAAATCTCTTAGCACGTGAAGGAAGGGGGGGTTATGAGGAGGCCATTTAAGGGCTCTTCAAACTCTTGGAGTGTGGAGGATGGATGTAGATAGGTATTTCTAGGTTGTGAGGAGGGACTGTATGCAATTTTCTAATGTGGCAACCTCAAAATATCCTTACCTCTGAGTGAGATTTTTAGGATTTGATTAGCTAGAATATGTTTGTGTTAATGCTTTCAGCTCCTCAGAGGCTGTCTTTGGCAGGGAGTAGCTGAGTGAAATGGAGCACACAAGTCCATTTCCTACTCCCAGTGCCATGTTGGATATGACTCTCTGTTCTGTGTCCACAGCAGTACTTCATCCTCCTGATCATCACAGATGGCGTCATTAGTGACATGGATGAGACAAGACACGCGGTGGTGCAGGCCTCCAAGCTGCCCATGTCCATCATCATCATAGGGGTGGGGAATGCAGACTTTGCAGCCATGGAGTTCCTGGACGGCGACAACCGGGTGCTCCGGTCATACACTGGCGAAGAGGCTGCCCGGGACATTGTGCAGTTTGTGCCATTCCGTGAGTTCCGCAATGTAAGTGCATGAGGCTTTGTGGTGTCTAGTAGATGCCCTTCATGGCCAGCAGGAGAGAAGCCAGCTCCAGAAATCTCACCCCAGGCGGGAAGCTCCTCTGAAATGAGATGCCATGCTCATTTTCTTTCAATAAGGGGGAACAATTTGATTCTTTTAGCACAGTTGGGAGCAATCAGTGCTTAGACCAGGTCTGCACTAGAAGGATTTGCCACCACATCTTCTGTCATCTTACAAGTGCCAGCATTTTTGTTTCACAAGAGCCTGTGCACCTGTGGCTGCTTTGCATGTTCTTTCATTCTTGCTACAAGATGTATGTTGGCAGAAGGCACAATGCATGGTGCTTGCACCTAGTGGTATTGCTATGCTTTTAGAATATGTCTGTGCTGGCATAAAGCTAGTGTCAGTTGGATGAGGGCTCATATCATTCCAGGTGACAGAAGAGTGAGTGTTGCTGGCTTCCATCATGTTTGTGTGTGGACACATGTAAACGTTTTGGTGAGAGAAGGCAACTTCTGAAGACAAAACTTAGCAGTGCAGACCAGGCCTAAGAGACTGCATGCTTCAGCCAGTCATACCCCTCTCAAAAACAGATAGTTGTGAAATCAGGTTTGTGATGGGGCACTCTCCAGGGCCACCCACCTGCCTAAGGCAGTCTGCCCAGCATTGCCTGCCATGCCTTGTTGTTAAGATACTGGTTATAACAATGTGGGAAGATGCCCATTTAATGCCCCAATGTCTAGGGGTTTACACATGACTCCAACCTTCCTTTATCATGTCCCAGGCCTCACAGATGTTACACTATTGTTATCAACTCTGTGCACACTCTTAGCATGGAGCCCTCCAGCTGCTGTGTCTCTACAGAACTGGGGCACTGCGATCTCTGGTGCCTGACTTTCTTTGCTTCTCTCTCTGGTGCCTGACTCTCCATCTTTCTCTGACGTCTATCTCTCTGCACCTATCCCTGGTGCCTGGCTCCATGTCTCTCTCTCTGTGCCTCCCTCTCTGGCATCTGTCTCTAGCACCCAGCTGTGCACCATCCTTTCTCTGCCACCTAGCTTTATGTACCTGTCACTGGGCTCTGCCCAGATCCTGTGCCCTTTTCTCGGAGCACTAATGAGGCATCCAAGCCTCCCCTTATAGCCTCATCCTGGTCCCCTGAATTAAACAATAACACAAATACAAGCCCCTGGGCTACAACATAACAACACTAATGGAGACTGTGTTCTAGCTCTTTAAGAGGGTAAAACTTCCACCCTTAGGACAACACACCTCTCAGCCCCGGGTACCTTAGGCCCCTGGATCCCCACTGTTCTTGTAGGTAGCACCTAGTTTCAGATAGCTCACTTGGGCAGAGGCTTCTTTTCTTGCAAGTTGCTAGTGAGAAAGAGTGTCCCTGCTAGTTCCAGCCCTAGGCTTATATGTCCCCCAGGGCCCTACCTCTTTCTGGTCAAGTGACTGCCTGCAGGTGTGGGCCAATTACCCTATTAGGCCATTGCTTAGGCAACCCACAGCTGTGGAGTTCTGCCTAGCCTTCTGAGCAGCCTGGCCAGCCTGCTTCTGCCCTTTGAAGTAGCAGGCACATCTTGGTGCCCTGCTACAAAGTTCATTCCATCAGACTTGGAATCCCACTTGCTTCTCCTGAGATGCTGGGCTTCAGATGAGATATAAACTGCTTTGAAATTCTCCAGATTGCCAAATCAACTGAGTCTCAGACAAGTGCTTGGGCAGTAGTGCATCTATACACCAGGGTTGAGCAAAATATGGTCCGCGAGCCAAATCCAGTTTGCGACAGACTCAATTTCCCAGTGATGGTGGCTCCTCCTGGCTGCCCCCGCTGAACCCAGCCCTCCTGCCCGGGCACCCCGGCCAGTCCACCTCACAACCGCTGCCGGGGGCAGGACCTGTGCAGGCAGGGTGCATGGCTGGAGGGGCTGGGATGGGGCCAGAGCTGGACTTGAGAGAGGCAAGTGGTGTTGGGGAGACCCCAGGATTTTGGGGTGGAACCATGATGCACAGCCCTTATGCCCCTGTGACAGGTGCAGGTTCTGTGGCCAGGAGTGTGCATAGAGCAGATCACGGCTCTGCCCCGGCCTCATGCTGTCACTGCCTCCAAATCCTGGCCCTGTCCATGGGTGCAGCTCCATGCCCCAGCCACCAACCTGCCCCATGGAGACCCCAGGATCACAGGGACATGACAGTACAGGGCTGGGGCCAGGAAGAGCCCTAGTTCTGTGGGCAGGGGTGTGCGTGGAGCACATTGCAGCCCTGCCCCAGCCCTGTGATGTCACAGCCCCATGATTCATGGAGTCGAGCTAGAAGCCACGTGGGGAGCTGCATTTGGGGCTGGGATCTTGGGGTGGTGACAGCACAGGGCTGGGGCAGAGCCGCGATCTGCTCCCTACATACCCCTGCCCATGGAACCTGTGCTCGCTGCAGGGGAATCTGGGCAGCAGATTGCAGCTTTGCCCTGGCTCTGACCCTGGCCCTATGCTGTCACTGCCCCACGATCCCAGGGTCTCCCTGGCTCTGCCTGCCTGTCTCACTCCTGGCCACATCCCAGTTGCCCAGCCACACTCCCTGCCCACGCATGTCCCACCCCTGGTGGTGGGTGCGTGGCTGATGGGATGGGGTGCCTGGGCAATGGAGCTGGGTGCAGCAGTGGCAGCAACCAGGAGCCACCACTGACAGGGCTGCTGAGAAACGGAGTCTGGCCATGGGATGTATTCACCATTTTGCCCACCCCTGTTGTATACCATCTTTTTTCTGAGCATCTCAAAATGCTTTACAGCCAATTGCTGAAGTCCTCTGTAAAGATAGTAACACTGCCTGATTCACACAAATCTGACAGAGCTAGGTTTATAGTCCAGAATCACTGACACCCCCCTACCCCCAGTCCTTCTAAGGCAGTCATCTTTCTCTGTGGGTACAGACAAATAAAACAGTTTTATGGATTAAGAGGGAGGTTATTATGGATCAGTTTGACACATGCTAAGTGTTTTGTGTGTCCCTTCTAGCCCACAGGACATGAAACCTATACTGATCATTTAGCAGCTCCTTCATTCACTTCCCCAGTTCAGTATCTGCTAACTAAGGGACAGAGCAGACGCATGAATCAGCTACCAAGACGTAGTCCACTTCTCTTAATTTGCTGTAATCGTTTCATCTGTTAATGCCCTGCATGTCTATGCTGCGCCGATTCCCAAAGTTGTTACCGTGGAGATCCTACTTTCTAGGGAAGAATAACATGACAGTGTGGTGGCTAGAACCTGACCATCATTCCTTCCTCTGTTAGACCACCTGCTGTGTCCAAGGTTGAATGAGCTCTTCAGTGAGCGCATCACACCTAGGCAGCAAAGCCCTCTAAAGTGCTCTGGGGCCCCCAGGGGAAGGAAAGGTACATGATCAAAACACATTCTTACTAATGGATCAGTCCTGTTGGACTCCACTTGTGGTGCTGAGTGGGTGTGAGCAGAAGTCACTGTGATGGTAATTGCTTGCTTTGCTAACACTTGGCTTTGAAGAAAAAGCTGGCAAAAGTAGTTGGACCCTAATACCAGCCCAGCACTAGTGACTGGCTGTGGTCGCTGTTGGGAAGCAGTGACTACGATGACTCATGTATCTTGTTTGTTTGTTTGCATCCAGGCACCTAAAGAAACATTGGCCAAAGCAGTACTGGCAGAACTACCCCAGCAAGTTGTTCAGTATTTCAAGCATCAAAACCTGCTTCCCATCAACTCAGAGCCTGCGTAGTGCTGAGCGCATTAGTGTTGTCTGCATGTTGCCGGTCGTTGTCAAATCCCCGAGGGTGTGTTCTATGTGCTTTTAAAGATTGGTATTTTTTAATGTAATTCTTTTTATTTGTAAAGACCTGAAAGCTCACCCCAGAGAAGTACCTGCCTTTACTTTTTACATTCCTAGGCCAAGGGGTAACATTAATAGGCCAAACAGAGACCTCTCCCAATGCCATTGCATCACTTTTATTAAGTATTGAATGTACTTTGTATAATTCTAGTGGAACAGAAAGACATTTTTACAGTTGGAACTTGCCTTTTCCAAGCAATGAAATGCTTAATATATTATTAATATTATTATCCAATGAACTGTGCATAGGTCACGTATCTGTGTTGTATCTGTACCTCTTTCATGCTATACGTTCATTTTTATATCGTGTACATGTTATTTGTTATACTCAGGTTAATAAAGAAACTCAGACAACCAGAGGGCTGATTCCATTGCAGGGACATAATGCAGACCTCTTAGCTCCCTGCATAGTCTTTAAGGTTTCCTTGGTTTTGCTGACTTGGACCAAATGGGTTATCTGTGTGATCATTTGACTCCTCCTTTGCAAGAAGGATGTCTGGCTTATTTTTCCAGTTGCTTGTATCTTAAATATTGACTGGAGTCCCCATCCATCAAAGCACAGAAGCAAATGATTAAGTCCCACTGATTTCAATGGTTGAAACATGTAATTAAAATGAAGCCTTTGTGTAGGTTCTTGGCTGGATAAGGATGGCATAATAGGTTGATTAAATGTAAACATGCTCTGTTTTTTTTGCTAAGTTAGGGCCCAGGTTTTCTGTCGAATGCATTTGGGACATGGTATAATCACACACGCTTAATTACTTGACCCTCACAATACCCATGGAGTGTTGTCTGCATGATGTAGATGGGGAAATGAAGTACGGAGAAGTGAAGTGATTTGTCAAAGGCACCCAGTGATCAATTAGCAGAGTCAACAACTGGTCTCAGATAAGTCCAGGTGCTAACTTGCAGGTGTGTCTGTCACTTAGTTCACTGAAACTGGGTATAGTCTTAACTTCACATCTCCTTTCATGAAACCATGTTGCTGTTACTATGATGATGACTTCAAGGGTTTTAGTTCCCCTTGTGTACTTTGATCTTGTCCAGAATGTATGAGTCTGACGGTAGCAGCTGGAGATGAGAGTATTTTACTAGATCAGCAAGTCCATTTCACTGGTATCCAGGTATGTTAGGTGGGATGCATCATATATTTAACAATTTGCTATACTTGATCTATGCCAAAAATAGCTAGAAGCATTAAATCTTCAGTGGTGAGTGTCAATGTGGCTTAGTTGGCAGCTCTCTTACCTCTGCTCCAAAAGTTAGTAGATCTCTAACCAGACAAATGCCTCTATTCTAATGCTGAGGGCACATTGTGAAGCTATTCACATTCTAATAAGATATTAAAACATGGCCGTTGCTGTATATGTATATTTCTACTGATGCCAAAGAACCAGGGCTGTTTTCCAACAGACCTGGGAATCAGGCCTCCCTCAGTATGAAACTAATTTCCAGTGTCCTGGCTTGTGTGAAACCCAGCTCTGACAGCATAGCTGCTACTCTGTCTTGTACCATGACAACACCCTTGGAATCTACCCTATTGCCCTGAAAGTCACGCTGGGTAATGCTGTTGCCTACAGAGCTCTAGAATAAGCCCAGTGTATTTATACTGAAACCCTGCTGTTACAGGAAATGTTTTACAGCAAATCAAATATACAGTTTCTAACAAACATGTATCAACAGATACATTTGAAACATTGAGGCATCTGTGTGTTAACTTTAGAAGCAGAAGTGAAGTCAGTGGCAGTCCTTCTGGAAAATGGAGCTGTTGCACTGGAGGAGCTCAGTAACAGCAATATTCACCTCCCTGAGAAATCAGATTGCAAGAGATCTCCCTGGCTTTCCAGGACAGCCTAGCTCTCATTGACTGACAAATTCTTTACCCTGTCATCAGCTACTTTGTCCCACTCTCCGGAACTTAAGGGAGGACAGAGGCAGCTTCTCCTTGTCCAAACAGGAGCCATACTTCAAAGGGAACAGGGAGCCTATCCTGGTGGCCATGGCTGTAACTACCCACAGCAGCAAGGAAGCAGTCATGGGCAGTGAGAGTAATATTCAAATAAAAGGTAAGATAGGAGAGCCTGATCCCAGCTGTTTTTTCCCCACCCTGCCCCTCTTACTTTCCTGGTCCCCATGTCCCTGTTCCTGAGCCCTGTAATTTGTTAAGTCAATCTGGTCTTATTCCAAATGAGTGGTGCATGTGAGCAAGTGGCTAAGAATATGGTTCCAGCAGCAGTGCCCTCCAGAGAGGGCTTAGCCATGTCCACTGTGTACATCAGTGGGGTTATCTACCGAGGTTTGTTTTGTGCTGGGGAGCAAACACTTGGCACATGCAGTTGGGTAGGAATGAAAGATGGTTCATTGGTAGGACACCAGATGGGACTTCGCTTGCCATGGTCTCCCCAGGTGACCCTCATATATCAGTTCCCTATTTGGAAAATGGGATAGGAGCACTTCACAGGTGCTGTGGGAAGATGCATATTGAGAGTTAGATGTTACAGTGACGGCCAGAAAATGTCTTTGATAGGAGAGGGCAGGATTATTGCTAGACATGCTGTCCTGTGTCCCAGTCTGTTTGCTAGTGCTTGTTAAGGCAAGTGAGCATCATCTGGTGCTGTTACTTGTGTATGCAGTAGACTTAGCAAGGTGCAGAAACTCAGGCTCTTCTCTTCTTGTCTGGCTCCTGCAGTGCTTTGTTTTCCTGGAGGTCTTTGCTTGTAGACAATTTATCTAAGGCAAGGAACAGGATTTGTACTTACTTAGGAAGTAATTAAAGAAATCTAATGGTCAGCCTATGTCAGCCTTTCCCAGTGTGTACAATGCCAGATGTGAGGGTCACATGGGTATACAATTCCCCTTGAGAGAGCCTTGCAAGGCTGAAGCATTGATGTTTTATTCTTAGCTATATTTATATTTAGCTGCACCTAGAGGCCACAACTGAGATCAGAGTCTTATTGTGGAGGACTTTATAAAGGTATACAGAACAGATAGCCCCAGTCTTGGATACTGGTCTTACAGTGGTTGTTTAGATTGTATGCTCTCTTTGAAGACAATGCCAAAGGAGACAGATAAGGCTGTGCTGGGTTCCTTTTTGTATTACTGCTTCCATGGCCTGGAATATTTCCTGTTGTACTTCATGTGAAAACTTAAGTGTTTCAGTAATGCAGTAACGACTATAGCCGACTGCTCTCACAGTCAATACCTTGTAGACAGCAGCATCCAGTTACTCATTTCCTGTTAGCAACTTTTCCTAGGCTACCCAGCAGCTTTGTTCATTAGCTTTTTACTTAATGAATGCAATGCCAGATTTCTGTAACAGCAGCCACTGAATCAGTGATGAGCTGGTATTTAATGGCTGGGCTAGTCCTTTCCTTTCTTGTGCCCTTGTGACAAGGTATTTAGCAGAATTTGTAGATTCACTGGAAACTAACAGAGCCATGCTGTGAGCACTTCTGCTGTGGCTTCAAACTCTTGACTTCTGGTCTTCCAGCCACTCACCCCCAGTGTTCACAGCTGATCTAGTGAGGAAAATTATGGAAAGGTTGCTTCACTCCACAGTTATTTTTAAAACCAGTCCTTTATGCATCTTCTCCCCTGAGAGGCAACTACAAAAAATAGTGCCTTACAGTCAATAGCTCTTCAGTCAATAACTGAAGGTTTTTGCTGCCTTTTCCCCACTGGGCTCTGACCAGCTGTAGGAGACTGAGCTAGAGTCTCTTCCTTCTTGGGCATCAATAGACACTTCACTTAAGCTTTAATGAGAAACCCCTCTGACCTGAGGGCAGTGAGATAGCAGAGGTTTCACTGGAGATCACATTTGATTTGCAGACACTTTATTATTACTGATGACACTTTAGAAGCCAAGGCCACAGCTTGACTATTGGATTTAAATTGGTAGGTTTATTCAGTAGGAAAAGGCCATCTTTTCACTTGTAACCAGAGCACCTTTTGGTAGGGCAAACACAAATCCCTTCCACGTGCAAGGCAGCTTTTACCTAGCTGCTTTCCAGAGCTGAACTCTGTATTAGCTCCTTTGGGGTCAGGACTGGCTCCTTCCAAGAATCTGGATCTTGTTTTGCTTTTCAGAGTCCAAATGCACTGCCATTCCTTCCCCACTTCAGGAGGCCCCACTGAACCCCTATATGCTGAATTTACAATCTGGGGTCAGGTGGGGTTATGAAGCTTATTTGGGGCTGTGTTAACTTTTGTTCAGGCTTTCCTTTCCCCATGTGGAGCCAGTGCATGCTGCTCCTTTGTGTCCTTCCTCCCGGCCTTTGTGGAACACTACAATGCCTCACAGGAGGAGGATGAGGAGGAGAGGATCCTCTTGGTCAGACCAGGCATCCTTATTGAATGTGGCAGTTGAATAAAGGCGAGTCACTTCATATCAGAGAAACAATCCCCTGTGGAAACACATGAGATGGCTGCAGGCTAAATTAGAAAACATGCTCAGACTCCTTCTCTGCCAATGCCTAGTGAAGACAAGGAGACTCTTCTTCCTCTGCCTGGATTGTGTCTGATTAGGCATTAGCTGACACTTTGTCAGTAGTCTAAATGATATCCAATTCAGGGGTCAGTGAGGAGAGTGGAAAGGACAATGCCATTGTTTTGCACCAGTGTTTATCCAAGATCTTGTCAAATGAGGAGGGAACCCCACATTTCTCATCATAGTCTTTACACCGCCCCAGAACCCAGGCCACTGGCCTACACTGCTGTTCCTTCACTGGATACCATGAGATTCCAAAGTACCTGAAAGTGTTAGCGTAGCACAGATAATCTGTAACATTCAGCCAAGAGCAGCAAAGTGTTGTGCAAGGCCCATCCTAACTGATATTTTTCTGTTCTGCTATAATAGCATTTGGGGTCTTTGGTTGCTGCTGGTGACTAAAACTGATGGCAGATGAAGGGGAGGGCTCAAACTGGAGTAGTTTTCATGGCAGTGCACCCCTACTTTCACTTCTCTGATTATTTTAATGAGACATGTTAGAACAGTGATTCACAACCAAGGTGTTGTACCACCCTGAGATCCTTTCAAGGGTGTTGCAAGGTGTCACACAATGTTGTCACTCTGAGGTGTGCAAACATGATTCAGAAGGTAAACCCTGGGATTTTAAATAGGAATCCACAGTGGTAAAAACCACCCTGACCAGCTTTCTGAATTCTTTGAAACAGAAGAATTGCTCTATTATTTTTCTGTAGTCAAAAAATAAGCAGAACTTAAGAGCTGGCATTTTCGGAAGGGGTGCTTTGAGTTTAATGAGGTTGAGAACCACAGTGTTAGAATAACCTTATCCCGGACTGAAATTCCTGTTTTTTCCTGCAATAATGTCCCAATATAAAAGCTACTCTGAAAAAGGAGAAAAATGTATATACTGACAAGCTGAGACACAAGTTTACAGACACTTCACTGTAAAATTTATTGCATACTTTCCTAGTGACACTGATATTATTTTAAAGAAACAACTATAAGTACTTTTGCCAAATAGTTCTGTGAACTGACATATTTCCTTTTTGATGATATGCTTTAAAAGAAAATAGCTAGGCACCAAAAATCAAGGGAAAAGAATAAAGAAGCACATAAATAATCCTTAGGTCAAAACTAAGGTTTTTGCATGGTGATGAGATATTCATATCAAATACATAAAAACCTTTGTAAGGACAATGCCTATTTCTAGGAAATGAAAAAGATACTACATTAAGTTCTTGCGTGGTTAGTTTTCTGAATGGTGCAATAGGTTACTATTCTGTTACTTAGCAACCTTCACAATTTGATTTTTTTTTTTTAACACATGGTTTTGGAATAGCGAGGAAGATTGTTATGAGAAACGTTTTATTGCACCTGCTAGGAACTTAACTCTGTCGGTATATCAGTCATGGCGTATACCACTTCTATTTTGCTAGAGCCGCAATTTAGCAAGGAACCTGAAGCACATGTGTAACTTCATGTCCGAGTGCCACTGAAGTCAATGCTCCAGTCAGTGTGACTGTAGCCTGGGTGCGCATAGTTCAGGTAACACTAATGGAGCTGCAGCGGCACAGGCTAATAATCTGAATACCAGCTGCTGGTGATGCTGGATATATACTATGGTTGTTGAAGTCTGTGCATTTTTGTGTGTGCTCTAAATACAGCATCTGTTAACTGTCTAGAGACGCATGCTGTGGGACTTAAGTGCACTACTGAACCTCGCCCTCAAGCTGGAGAGACTATCTGAAGTGGAATTATAGAGAATAACTACATAGGTTATCTGAGGTAGTACAGTATGTACCAAATAAACACTTGCAGAACCTGCCTGTAAACTCAGGGCAAGGGGGCATGGCTAGAATAAAAAGGGACTTGGCTGGAGTATTTCATTACAGCTCTTGACAGGCTCACTCAGTGTGTGGAAATAACCTGCACAAAACAAGAACAAAGTAGTGCTAAGGTGATCTGTAAGACTCAGAGCCATGCTTCTTCTCCCTACAGCAAGCTTATGTTTGCATTGTAGCTGTGGCTCAGGGTCACGCCTATGATATGCTCTTGTGTCCATGCATTTCTCTCAACTGTGTGGAGTAATTTCACATCCTGTATACAGGTCACTTCTGGATCATGAGTGCTGCCCTTTAGCCTTTGGAAGAATCCCATTAGCTTTGATATGAAAAGAGAAACCGAGGCAATGCTCCCTTGTGTTGGCTAACAGGATTTAATCAGTTTCACAGATTAGCTCTTAAATTAGTTCGCATGCAATGAGGGCAGCTTTGTGCTTGGCTTGTCAGTTATGCTTTGTAAAAAGGCTGTGGCTAAACTTAATCTCACCTCGAACTGGAAAGAGTTTTGAATTTCCTTGTCGTTGTTTTTATCTACTGAAGTTGTTTGCACATCCAAGTGATGAAAGATCTGCGCCAGTCAGGAAAGATCAGATTTGACTGCGTCTAATTAGAACTCCATTTTCTATGAGTTCTCTGGAGTTGCTGATCAGTAAAGTGATATCCTTGGTCTTAATTACCACTTTGTTCTGTCATTAACTAGATTAGTGTCCTTATAAAGAAGGATTGTAGAATGCAAATGGTTTATGAGAATCACTGGAAGTTCATCCTTGTATCAGATTCTATTAGACAGGATTTTTTTTCCACTGTTAGCTAAACTGTATTGGAAGTGTCATGTCTCCTTACTGCCCCCATGACTGAACAGAATAACAGGCTTGAATGAACATTTCTTTTAGCTTCACTAGTCTGTTTTCAACTCTGTAGATAGCGTCTACTCTAATAGACTTATTGCCAGTGTTTCAACTGATTCCCTAAAATGACAGCAAATTAAGACAAAAGTGATGCTAAGGTTTAATGTAAGAATCAGAATTGATGTTAACTACTGCTCAGTCACATACAGAACTTGTTCCATGTGCATAACCCTTGTGTTTTACTGTACTGTACTTACTGATGAAAGGGGTTCTTAAAAAAATATTCAACTCAAAATTTCTTGAAACTTTATAAAGGTGGGGAAGATAGTGCCAGTCTTCAGCAACAGCTAGAATTTCAGCCTTAGTTAAACAAGAAAGGAAGGATGAGTCAGCTGAAGATTATGCTCTGTCTCTGTTCTATGCAGCCATAATTCCAACAGAATTCTTTTCCCCCATTCTGCCTTTCAAAAACATGGCATATATTACTTTCTAGGGCATGGTGTGTGCAAGGAATCATAGTACTTTGCATTCCTATTGCTCTTCCCTGATGGGAGTTCTTTATTCTGTTATAATCAAACTATTTTGACTCTAAATGTGAGCACCTCAAAACGCACACACTCTTCCTAGATCTAGTGGCAAGGAAGAGCCATACTGCTATGTGGCAGCCTAAAGTTCTAGTGACTCAAACCATTCCTGTTATTTACCTGGGAGAGTTGAAACATATTGCTTTAAGTCCATAATTTCTCAGAGGAAAGGCACTAGTCTCTACTTATTAGCATTCTCTGTTAGGAAATATGTGGACAGGGCACATCTAATCTTTGAATAGAAAATTACAAGTTGTTCATGCTTGGCTTCCTAGTTCATAATGCCTATAAGAATGTTTACTGAAGCATTTGTCTTTCCCACACCCCAATACAAGTCCTGCCAAGCATCAGAGTGCATCCTAGATGCACATACTGTTCCACTTAAGTTTCTTCTGAACAACAGTAATAGTCTGCAGTCAAAAGTTGCTTTAAGCCACCACCAATTCTGGTAGAAATGTGAAAAGCTGTATAATTTTGCTTTGTTAAAAGGTACCTGAGGAGGAAGGAGGCGGAAAAGGCTTGTGCTAAACCAGCATAATTTGATTGCTTCAAAAAGTCTATTCCCTGGAAAGACCTGTCCATTCAGAGGAAGGATTGTGTGTTGCTATCTCCTCTTCATAGGGTACTGGCAAGTGTTGTCCTTTTGTAATCACAGTCATGGGAAGGGACTGAGCACACTAGCACTGCTTAATGGAACAGGAATGATTTATCAGTGAAAAGTTATGAATGGCAAGAGACAGGATAAGAATGCATTCAGAATTTCTTTAATTGTCTAACACTAAAACTTCTTTACAGTGTCATGGCAATCTACAATTTCACCATCTGCCTGATTTTTATTCTGCCCCCACTTCTGAAATACAGAATAATAATGACATTTTAAAACAGAACACATGGCCATTTCTACGGGACTTCAGTGCTTCAAGTGCATGCTTTGCACCCTTTAGTTTCTTCATAAAACTGAGATCACCAGGAAAAATCTTTGCATAAAAACTTTTAAAAGGCTCTCTCCTCCCCCCATCTTTGTGTTACAATAGCAGTATTTTCCCTCATTGTTTTAGGTTGGAAACCTATCAAAATGGGCTCAGGTTGCACCCCAGAAATGGAAGAAGTTGGGGGAGGGCAGGGGGAGAGAAATAGCTTCAGTTAATTTTGATATTATTGGAGGGTAATAGAAGGCTAAAGTTTGAGAGGTTAGCAAGGAAGGGTATGCCTAGAGCAAAAGGATGCATCTAGCATCCTATACGGCTTTGGAAGGTACCCTGTATTACATTAACATGGAGGGATTTTGTTATGGACCATCAAAGAAGCTGTTGCTACGGAAGACGGAGGAGACAATCTTTCCAGTGGAATTAATAGTGCCTTCGCTATCTGAGCTGGACTCAGAATCACTGCTTCCTGAGTAGGCTCCGAGGCCAGGCAGGATACCGATGCACACAGCTGCCGAGGGACAGTGGACTGAAGAGCCACTCATTGAGCTGCTCCCAAGCGGAACACAAGATGTTTTTTCTGAAAGACATTAAAACCATTAGTTGCCAAAAGGCAGGAGCATGCTTGTCTGCCCCAGCAGCTACTGACCAGTATACGACCATCAAAACAGCAGCATGCCAGACACGTGCTTTTGTAACTTGAATACTGTGAACATGCCCTGAGCCACTACAAATAAAGTGGCTTTGTGCTACACTAAAGCTTCTTCCAGCAGGAAAGACTGGATGGATCTCTATGAGGATTAATAAAGGGATATGGAGTTTTTCATCTCTAATTCAAATCTAGCCCTGGACTGTGAATAGAGGCTGTCTGCCTGATGCATGTCACAGGCACTACATTCATAAATAAAAATACATGGTTCTGCTCCATATAATTGAAATATTTTGCCATGTAATAACTTAGATGGGATTCCACTGCTCTATTAGTCAGTGTCTCCCACCTTCCATAGCTAATTAGCTTTCCGAATGCTGGAAAAAAATAATTAATTGAACAAATGGAGTTTTAGAATGTGCCTTGGGGTATAGTTACACAACTTTAGCTTACTATCAAAATACCTCTGCAAAAATGAAGTCAATTGCAGCCATAACTGTTAGGACCAAAATCTAACTTGAACCTCTTTCTGCTTGCCCACTTTCAGGTCGCAGAACAGAAATGTTAATTGGGAAGGGTAAGATGATAATAATAAAAATAAATAAATACAAAAATAAAATGCAGAAAGTCCTATTTTCCCTTTTGATTTGGATGACAAAAACCAGATTAGTTCCCAAACAGTGCAAGAACAGCTGACAGTTGACACATCAAGGTAACAACCTTTTATAGAAGCAGAACATTGGCTGCTGTGGTTCCCCTGCTTTACCTGTTAGGTTGTTATGTTGTGCTGTGTCAGGGTTGATGGTAATTACAAAGCGTTTAGATTATGGATTTGTATAGGATGGTTTGGATAGGGGAAAATAACATGACAGTGTGGTGGCTAGAACCTGACCATCATTCCTTCCTCTGTTAGATCACCTGCTGTGTCCAACGTTGAATGAGCTCTTCAGTGAGTGCATCACACCTAGGCAGCAAAGCCCTCTAAAGTGCTCTGGGGCCCCCAGGGGAAGGAAAGGTACATAATCAAAACACATTCTTACTAATGGATCAGTCCTGTTGGACTCCACCTGTGGTGCTGAGTGGGTGTGAGCAGAAGTCACTGTGATGGTAATTGCTTGCTTTGCTAACACTTGGCTTTGAAGAAAAAGCTGGCAAAAGTAGT